TTTAATACATAATGCTGAAAAAATTCCAGTGCATAATTCCATATGAAATATGGCGTAAGTAAATCAGTATTTTAGTATACATTTATTTTCTTGCACAAATTGTATTACTTTTATCTATATAAGTATCACAGAGCTAATTTTTTTCATAGCAAATGGGGAATTGCAATCAATGTTGTTTTTCGGTATCATTCTGCATCATATCTTCTAGAAACACTTTGGCACTAGGCTTGACAAGTTCTTCTGAATTTAAGAATGGGCACCATTCAAAATTATTATAAGGATTAACCAAATATTTGAGCAGAAGTGATGGAAAAGGATCACCAGCACACAATTTAAGTGACACTGAAGTCATATTTCAGCTGTTTACTACCTGTTACTGATGTACAGAAGTGCTCATGTCTTTTGTCTTCTTTTGACATTCTACCCCAAGAACAGAGAGCTCCATTCTATTTCCACTGTCATCACAAACATGTACAGGTCACTTATTTTTCAATATCTCTGCTTAGCTTGTTTATAAAAGTAATCTGTATGAATGTTTGTAGAACTATAGAACATACTGTCTGTTTGTTTATAGAACTAATCTCTATGAAAGGCCTGCACTGAGGCATCTAAAGGTCAAGATCTTTAAAATCCCCCTCTCCCAGTCAAGGTAACATTTTGAAGAAGCAGAAAGGTAAAGACAATACTGAATACAGGAAAGAATTACAACCTTCATTCCCTCCCTGCCTCCCCATGCAAGCTTCCGCATGCTATTTAAATGTACAAATAGGAGGAACAAAGACTGCAAATGACTCAGTAACTGCTGGAATAGACACTGGGTGTTACAGGACTTTCTAAAAGGTTTTTCCTTTGAGATCTCATTAGCAGACAAAATCAAAATGGCTCAATAGTCAAACATAAAAATATTGACAGCCACTTATTCTTTTCCTTAGCCAATTTCTTTTGAAGACAAAGGTTTTTATAAATTAATATTAACACAGCTTCTTCTACTTTACCATTCTCTCAGAAATTAGTTTATTACACTAAATTTTCAATCCACCTCATAGAATATAATAATTTCAGCATACACATGCAATCAGACAAAAATACCTCCGAAGCATTATAAAGGGAAAAAATTAAAGACTGTATTTAAAGAATAAAAATTGAAAACAAAACCCACTTGCAGTATATAGTCTAAGTATATCTTATCAGCTATTAATATCACTGATAGAATTGATTACATGCTTTCAGAAATAAAACCTTGGATTTTTCTCCTTTTTCCATTCAACCTGTTACCCTTTTGTAGTACTTCACACTGGAAAAGTTACCATTAGTAGTTAGAAATAAGTTGTCATGATCAGAAACAGCACCATATTTGAACATAAACATTCAATCTGCACTTCTTTAAAAGCCCAGAAATCACACATATGAATCCCTCCTCTTGCCTGAGAAGAGCTGTAATTCATCATTACTGCTACTACTCATAATTGATGACAAAGCTGAGAATTTATTGAGTGAAACAGATGAAATAACTTTCAGAAATTAAGAAACAATGGCATTGACTGATTCTTGAGGATGTTCAGTCTCACTATCCAGGACATAAAGATAGAGGTGAAACTAACATCATGTCTTCTCATGGATGCTTCTGAATTACTGCCTTAGGCTTTGATGGCTCTCTCCTGTGAATCTCATCCCTCATGGGGGCATTGGGGGATCTCAGACTCCTAGTTCGGGACAGAAACCATGGGAAACCAGTGCTATCAGAGCCACAGAAGCTGACATGCCCCTGAAATTAACCTCTTGGCAGAAATGTCCTGAGAGTCCTCTCTATACAACTGAAGTAGGGAAGTCTCTGATAAAACAAAGAAATGGCAACTACAGTAACTGATTCATGGCAAAGCCAGGGGCCTCAGCATCCAGGATCTCCACCCTCTGTAGAGATACAGGTGGATTTACAGTGCCCTGACACAGCAGGCATTGCTGTAGCTGGGCTAACACACACACCAGGAGCCACCCGGGTCATTGCTACGCAGGCTGCGTTCATGCACCACTCTGAAACCCAAGGCAAGATCATTCTTCTGATATACAGAAGACATTGTTTATTACTTACCAAAACAAAAACTGACAGATGTAAGATTTGCATTTGTTTACAGTTCTCATATTTTTAATGCAAATTAAGTATATTATTCATCAAGGCATGTCATCAGTTGTATTCCCACAGGAAAAGAAATTAATAGAAACAGGTCTTATTTTAAATTCTGATTTCATGTCAAAAGCTGGCATGACTTATAAACTCCAATAAAGTCAGTTTCTCTGATTAGCTTATTTTGTTCCCTCCCATTCCATTGTTATATGTGATTGACTTAATGGTTCACTTTAGAAAATGGAAGCAATTAAACTTCTTTTTTTTTCCTTCCTTCCAAAGTATCTATCACAACTGTTTTGTTAAGAATTACTTTTTTTTTTTTTTTAAGGTTAACTTTTGCTTTCCTTTTGCTATATTTCAGTCACTGGTTTTGAGCTAATGACAGAGTAATATTCAGAGAAGAATGGAAGTGATTGGGTTGACTGAATAACTTAATTTTCATTTCACTACATCTATTTTGTACTGATAAGATGATAAAAAGTGTATTTAAGTCATTATATTTCCTTTCTGACATTGTGTAAATCAGCGCTTGGATAACCGGCAACTGAATAGGTAACTTCCCTGTTCCACCAACAATTTGTCCTTGTGCAACCCAACAGCATTTCCCTGTCTTTTTGAATTTTTCTATCAAGATTAACCAACTAATATTGTTAGAACTGGTTTGGAAGTCTTTACAAAGACTTCCAAAAGTGCTTTTAAATTAAGTTCTGGCTACGTGTAAAGCCTTGACTCTCCATCCTTCCCTTCAAGCACCTTCTCAAGTAGCATCACCATGTTAACAAAATGTGAAGTAAGAAACACTTAAAATAAATAGAAATAATACCTTTTTCTTCTGCATGTCTTGCAAAAGGGTTTACTCTTGACTTCCAAGAGGGAAGACCATTCATATTCAGAAACAGGTTTTAACTGGTTGAATGAGAAGGGATTAAAATGTTTGTCCATGAAACAGCAGTAGTCATGAAACTAGTAGTAGTAGTAGCACTACTACATGAAATTAGTACCTCTCCATAATTAGAAATTATGAAATCCACATTCTCAGTGCTTAGGAAATCGTAAGCCTTACAGATAAACAGTAAGACTGAATTTAAAAAATACCTCACTCTATTCCTCGTTTCTGTACAACAAGCATTAACCGCCTTTCCTGAAATGTCATGAGAAGCCCTTTCACATCATGCTTTCAGATAGATTTTTAACTAATAGTGCATTTCAGCTAATGTTATTAGCAAGAAAAATTATATAGTATATCCCAAAAGAGTGCACTGAGATGCTCTAGCTTTGTATTTTTATTATCATATTGTGATTTTCAAAGAAAAGAGCACTAAAAGGTATTTTCACCTATTGAATAATGATGAAAAATATAAACTATTTAAAAGATATCTCTAAAATGTCAAACTCAGCAAATGCTAAAATTAGAAAAAAATGTAAATAAGTCAGAATACCTTAATATTCACATGCTACTACAGTTATCATGCTAGGTTTAGGACTGGGAACTACAAAGCTATATAACAGGTTTTTTCAGTTTCTCAGCCAACTCCATGCATTACATTGGCTTGCATTACATTGGCTTGCATTACATTGGCAATGCTTTAAGCTAGCCATCTGACAATCATAAGTATTACTGTTATTGTCCAAAACATATGGGGTCTATATTTAGAAATTAAAAGTACATTGCCAAAACATCCATGCAGGTCCATTCCAACCAGCAATGATATTCCCCACATATATGCAAGTTTCCAAATACATGCTGCTTTTACTTTGTACATTCTCTCTTACGTATTTGTCATTTTACATATAGCAATTTGGAACACAGCAATTATTGATGTGACAACTACCAAATTGTCGAGAATAATTTCCTTCCCCTTCCTGTCTTTTTTACCTCCTAAGCATGTGGGAGGAAAGGATAATTTCTTTAGTAAGTAATCAAGATTCAAAAGAGAAAGGGGAAAATAGCTTAAAAAATTAACATACACTTGCAATACTTTACTAGCTCAGGCTCCTGAAAAATTAAGTACTTACCAAGTCTTATGAATCTGTCAACGAGATTCAGTTATAGAGCTATTTTGGGGGAGGTTTTGGCTGTCTCAAGACAGTGGGATCAAGACAGCATAATTTGTTTTACAATAGTAGATTGGCCTTTGTAAAATAATGACTTTCAAACACTGATTAAGGTGTAATTCAACTGCTGTTTCACATCCTTCCTTCTAATTTAATTCATCTTATGTTGAATAGTTGTGCATTATATTGTAAAAGAAGAACTCAAATCTGAACATGCTGTGATGACAGAAAGAGGAACACAAATCATACTCTCTGCACATATGGGATGCAGCATGTGAAGGTACATTAAAATTACATTACTCACTGCAACAAAGTGTCCTTCAGTCTATTTGCAAACACAATTTTCTCCTATTTTCAAATAATTGTAGACTGTCAGAATGAGATGAGGTTGCTTTAGCAAGACTAAAGGATTGGAATTTGACAGTGGTAGAAGTGTCAAAGGCTCTTGGCACTGTAGGTTATTGAACTCGGGCATTGATTTAAAGACAACTTGGCCATAGTTGCAACATATGTCCTTCTGTAAACCAACACTCTACTTGGTCACAGTCTGACAACTGACTTCAACATGGAAAATAATTTGTTGATAACGTTTTTGCTGGTTGTACAATCATTATATAGTTACTAGCAGGAAACACATTGTCACTTGGCTACTTTCAGAGAAAAAAAATGACCTCTCAATTCAGGACATGACAACCTTGTGACATTGCTACAATCAAAAAAAAAGTTGTTAGGAATGCCTCCTAAAGGACACAAAAGACCAAACAGAGAGAGAAAGAATGAGTAAACAAACCACTTCAATTTGTTCTGAACTCATGTATACCTGAACGCATAGCATCTTTTTGAATGCTTTCATAATCGTGCCAGTCCTTCCTTTTCAGGCCATCAGTCCAGGTAAAAAGCTGTCCATCTCCCAACCCCAAAGGAAGTGTCTGTGAAAAGAGTAAACAAACAAATAAATATATACATACATAAGTGGTTCATGTTATTACAGAGGAACCCTCATAACATGGCAGTAGCCATATCCAGTTTATTCAATGCAAATATTGAAAGTTTACTGTGATAAATGAAGTTATTTTTCTAAATACTGTCAGAAAACAGTGAATTTAGTTCTTGACAAACAATTTAAAGTATATCAAACATCTGGAGCTTAACATTTCTCTTTTCAGCACTGTCCCGATATGACTGCCTGGCAATAAGCTCACGGAGATTAAATTGAACAGGTTTCAAAAATGCCTTATCCTTCAACACATGAAGGACTTGGATTTTTTTCTTTAAAGTATCACTTGTGCAAGATTGGAGTTGTAGTTACTCTGCACTTTATAATGTTCCCCTTTCATTTTTTTGGAAGTTTTTTAATAGCTGCTACTAAGTTATTATACACACAAGGTCGAAGGACTGCATCAAAGGCCCAGAGCAAAGCAATTCTCAAAGCACTTTCAAATCCTGCAGATCTTCACCACAGGCAATAAGGGAGAAAATACCCCAAAACACAGCCCACCCCCACAGAATACCCAGAAAATAAACCCTCGTACAATATGTAGTTGGTAAGCTGACTTCCCCTTTGCAAACTCCAAATTCCTGGGTAAAGGTAACAACTGCTTTTCGCTTCTAAGCAAGATTATCTTCCTTGAGCTCTTTTTTTTCCCCCCCTTTCTTGATTCTTTCTGCTAAAAGCTAGTATTTTTATGAAAATTAAGAATCAATAAGTACAATTGCAAGTATATGAAATGTAGATTAATTGCTAATAAGAATAACATGAAAACTTTAGCTCTGCTAATTACAGGTTTAAATCACTAAATTGTCCGGAACAAAAGGCATGTATGAAATCTGTGCTAGAAATGCTCTCAAAGTTATGACAAAACACACTCGAACAGCAGTTCCAGGGACACAACATCTGAGCAGCCTTGTACTAGGAAACCCTGAAAGCCTAGAAAAATCTCATGCCTGTGTAATAGTGAAGCTTTGCCCTCCATGTCTGAAGTTCGTAAACCCAATGAACACTGGACTCAGCCATACTCTTTTTTACTGATTTTACACCATTGGCTGCACAGAACTGGATGGCACTCACTGACTCCAAGTGAAATTGCCCCAGCATGCTCAGTTAGGGTTTCTTTTTTCTAGGACAGACAGATATTTGCCAAGCTACATGATGCAGATCTGGTTGCTAAGCCATCCTTAAACTGGGTTTCAAATGCTTTTGGATTTGTAAGCAAGAAGTTAGGAATGCCAACCATGACTGGTTACCTTCAAGTAATCAGTCTTTCTAGCAAAGGATGCTAGAAATCCCCCTGACAAAGATTTATACTGAAAATACCTCCTTTGGGTCAGTTGAGAATGCTGGATATTCAGGGCAAAGTGTAGTGAGCTCAGTGCTCTCCAACAAATCCCTGAAATACTGAGGAAAATCCATCACACTCTGCTAGCATGGCCTATATTTCTAAGTTTTAGTATTAAAGGCAACTTATGTTACATAATGCCAAACTGCAATCTTGTTTGTTTATTCTTCTATTACCACTTTTGCAAACATATTCCAAGAAAATACTGCTGTCATATTTTAATATGATAAAAGTCAGAGTTCACATATAAAAGAACTGAAGAACTTAACACATCCTGATAAAAATGTGTCAGGTTATCAAAATATCTAACCTTTCATGTCATTAAAATGAACACATTAATTACAGTAATTTTTGAGTTCAAACAAGGCCAATGTTGTAATAGTAATATTAAATTGCTTGGGTTTTAAAGTCAGAAGGATAAGGTAGAAAACAGGCTGCAACAGCATAAATCATGATTCTTAAGCAAAAATTTCTAAAATAATCTACTCTGAAGTAGTAACTGGTTCTTTAAGTCAGACCCAGACAGATTCACTTCAATTAAACTTGTACTCTTCTCAGTATGGGCACAGCTGGTGTGAATCACTTGGATCCAAAAATGAAAAACTATTTAAACTATCAAAAGCAGGATAAAATTTACTTTTGTGATCTTTTATTCCTGTGCTAGCTTCTTTCCTTAAAATCAGTTATTTAAATGGCAAGTTTGCAGGACACTGAAAGAAAGCTGAGTAGTAGAGTTTACAGCTGGTTTCCTGTTATCTATTTGCATTTTGATGCCATTACTCTTTAAAAATATTAATTACATTACAGGTAGCTAATTTGCCTGATAGCATTTACAAGTCTAATGTACCAGGAGACTCTTGCAAGCATAATATAGTTAAATAAATATATTCACTAAAATTAATCTAGCAAAAGGATAAATATAAATCCAAATATCGTATGATAGACAAAAACTAATAGAAGCCTTGCTGTGGTTCATATTTTGGAACAGTAACACTGCCCTAAGAGGAAACAGGAAACAAACCACTGTATTGGTGCCATTAGAAGCTCCAGTTTAACTACTGAGAGTATTGTTCGGATTGCTGGGATTTCTTTTTAATAAATCCCTTAACTCCCTCACATTGTACCATGGCAGTTTTTCAGCTCTAACATCCTTCCAGTGTAAGAGGAATTCAACAGAATGCTCTCGTGTGTCACTTTGTAAAACCAGCATTCAGACAGCACCATCTCAGTGCTGACTGAGCGCTGTGACCCCTACAGGGACTGGACTTCAGGAAATTCACTCTGTGTACACACTAGTTTCACCTGCATGTGAGTTTTAGTGAGCATGAAGCAAGGCTTAAAAAGGGATGTCGAGCTGCACAGACAAACTCTCCGGGAAGAGCAAGAGTTTTGCAGTGCAAGCTCTTTAGCTCTGAAAAAATCTGAACTGCCTTCGGTCCCTCAACTAAATATCTCCCTTGTCAGCAACTGAAGGATGTTTTCTTTTTTCTTTTTTTCAAGTTGCTATATTGTTTAACAAGATACAAAAGAACTTGAGAAAATGGGTTTCTCCATTTCACTTCTACCTGAGGGTAAACAAATTGCATTTTGAAAGACCTTAAAACACAGTTTCTGGAATTTTTGAAAACTGCTGCAAGGCTCCACTGTAAATCTCTAAGTATGCCTACATGCCTCTTTTACCCAGATGATAATGACTGGAAGAGCTCCCATTTCTAAAGCATTTCCATAGCTGTGGAAGAAGGAAAAGAAAAAAAAAAATGTAGTATTCTTATTCTAGCATTTGTCTTCTCCCTACATACTTTTCTTTCTCAGTTCTCCATCTTTTTTGCTACCTTGACAATTTAAAACTGTTTTGCACCAAACTAGAAGCAGCTCTGGTTTAGTTACACACAGGCTGATTCTCTGGTGTAATGGCTGGATAACAACAACCACTAAGCTACTTGAAAAAATGCATACAAGAAAGCCCACACAACTCTACATCCCATCTCAGAACGACAAGTTCTGAGTAGCTGAATATGACATCAAAAGATGGAGTGTGCCAATAAATCTGGATTCTGAGTTTTTGCTGCATATATATTTAACCATAAACTGATGGACTCAAGTGAAATAAAATTAACCACAACACAGAGGTACATATGCTAAATAAGGTAACAAAAGAAATTCTTCATTTTAGGGGTAATGTATAAACAGATCAAACTATTAAATTCATGCTATAAAATGCATAATGAATTCAGCACAAAAATATGTTTAGGTGTTTAAACAAATAACCAAATTAGGTTGGGTTCCAACCCATAAAAGAAAAAATTTATCAAGGATTATTACCTCTGAGTAGGCAAGTTACTGAACCATACATCATAAGAGACATGGCATTCTGGAAATACACATTTGCTATTTGCACATCCTGAGTTTTTATGTACTTAAATGGCAGCAACATTCCATGGATACTGTGAAGTGTTAGTTCTACAACTGCCTGTAAGAGCAGTAGCAGACTTTTGGTATACACAAGGGCCTTAGAAATGGAAAGCATGACTTCAGAATATTATGGTTCCTTCCTACACATGAAATAAGGATTCTTTCTGGTGGGAACCAAGATATGAGAAAAGAGAAGACTCAGGCACACCTGCCCCTGCTTCTCCCCTGTACCTTATCCTAATACAAAAGGAAAGCTTACATGTATTCTTTACTGACATATAAATACATATGGGTAAGAAACCAGCTCAGTTAAGTAGCTGAAACATACTCAGGGTTTTCCCCTCCAAAACATTTCTGACATCACCCACAATAGTGGAGTCTGCCCCTACAGCCCTTAGCCTTGACCTCATGAACCATTTTCATCATTGCAGAGCTATTTACAACAGCAAATACCCCACTGCATACAAAGCGTTGGATTTTGACTGATTGTCAAAACAATCCTACAACAATTTATCATCCAACCATTTGTTACATGTGGTATGTGCCTCTGAGTTACACATTTTTAAGTGTTTCAGTCCAAAAGGGATTACCCACCTACAGGAGCATTACATACAGAATCTGCCTTACTATTTCATTTTCACCTTAACCTCAAATCTTTTGGGATGCAAGACTGATACAGTACTACATAAACTGAGAAGACTCTTCTCCAGAGAAGACTTAACATCTGGTTCAATTACAGAGAAAATGATAAGCACAAAAAATAGAGCTATTACCAAAAAATCACTCACATACTATTAGATCCCTCAGAGAGGAAAAAAAGCTTCTGTACTTTGACATTTGAAAGCTTGAACTAAGAAACAAGTATCTTCATTGAATAATTCATTTATTTTTAATTTCACTCTGTGGAGGCAGACAATTAGAGAGGACTCAGGCAAGGGAAGATGGTGTATCAATGGAAATGCACCTTTAAAAAAAATTACAGAAATTACAGGTTTACTTTGAGCCTGAAGATTTGCTCACTGGCTCTAGGGACATTTTACTAAACAGCAACATATAATTGAATACTGCACTAACAAAACATCATATAATGATCAGCATAACCACTTCCAATTGTTTAATGAATTTTAGGAAATAATCTTATTTAGACATAAGCATTTGTTCACACTCAGGAAAAGATACAC